AACCCCGAAATGAATTCTATGAGCGGCCATCAAGACTAATTTTGCCTTACAACTGGAACCACACGGAGAATCTTCTATGAAGAGTGCGATAAAAAGCAATAACTCAAGCAATTTGTGCATCCAACTGAGCTAGACAGACCAAGGAGAGGGAACTGAAGACGGAAAGATTGCTAGAAAGGAATAAGAACATGAAAAGAGAGCGATTGCGAAGTAGAGTACACTATTCTCTGGAGGCTTATAAGGAAAATTCAAGCAAGACTTCTAGAAAATATAAGACAAGAAGCTCACAAAGATGGCGGAAGATTCCAGAAATCCTACTAGATGTAAGAGTGAATTGATAATCCACGGACATTCTATCACGCCAATGAAACTATATTGGGCATGGTTGAGATGGAAGCGATATCCAGAGGTTTTTGCACTTAGCTCCTCGCTTTAGAAGTAACCGCCCGCTGTCAATCAGAAGACAGCAGTTCCTGATCTCATAAGCAAAATTCAGAACGAGTTTACCCGATGATGGTTGAAATCGCTCCAGGAAAAGATGAACTGGTGATAAAAATGATAAAAGCACGCGGCCAGAAACTTTGGAAAGTGGGTACTGAGGGTTTCGGTCGATACATTGAAATGAAAATGATACCATCGTACTGGAAAGAGTTAGGTACCAGCTGGGTTAGCGAAAAGACGATCACTGGCATGAGAAGAGCCTCTTCCAATGTACTTGTTCTTACATGTCTACAAACTATTCAAAAGGATAATTACAGCTCTATTATCAAGGAGCATGGATGATTAACAGCTGCTAGAGCAGATTCAGAGCAGATTGGGTTTCGAAGGAGTTTTTACGCGATCGAGAACACTTTGACCAATTAATGGCGTGCACGAGAGAATACAGATAGTCCCTGTGCATTGCTTTCGACTAGTTAAAGCGTTCGACACAATCCAGCTCAGCATGATGTGGAGAGCACTTGCAGACTAAGGCATCGACATACTGTGCCTCATCTTGCTGAAGGAAGCAAACTCTGGATGCACAACGAAAGCTGATGCAGTTGAACACGCCACCGGATCTGTCAAGAAAGGCGTAAATCAAGGAGACATGAACTTCTTGACGGTCACTGCCTTGAAATGCTTTTCTTTCAGGTAATTTGCAAAGGAGGGCCAACGATCAGCAGAGAGCAACTGTATCACCTCAAATTCATTGGTGACGTACTTATTGTGACAGGACCACCCAGCTGCAAAAAAGGCTGAAGGACTTCGACCAAGAAAATAACGTGTCTGACAAAAAAAATTTTGTCGGTCGAAGACAAAATAGATGCCATGAGATATGCTGGCTGCAGAAGGACTGAAAATAGAGTGAAATGAGATTTATATTTGAGTTAACATGTGATCAAAAGACTGAAATCTGGCGCAAGAGAAAAGCGCAAGTAGGCGCCGTTCAAGTCTTTGAAGGATATCTTATATGAAATGAGCCATCAGAGTACCAGCGGCTTATCGCTTCAACACAACCACCTTATCAGCGATCCTCTACAGCAGTAAAAACGGCCGTTAGCGAAGGAGAAAAAACGGCAGCCTTACATTTCGAAACGAGC